CTTCCTCAGTAGAGGATGACTGAATATGGGACCTAGTCTCCATATTCATTCCTTATCCAGTCTTAGGCAGGGAGACCTGCATTTCCTTCCTTCTTCCTTTATGCATCAAACTCATTTAATCTCACAGCAACACAGAGAACTACGGGAAAAATTCTCTTTGGCTTGTTGAAATGGTAAAGTGTATATCATAAATGAAAGAATTTTAGATCAAAGGCAATTTGCCCTAAAATGCTAATTGGAATAGATTGAGACAAATGGTAGTTCAACACAAATAAGCTGAATGGAACCAACAAGCATGAATTTAAAGGTTAAGAAGAAAATATGTATCCTCTTTCCTTTTTGCCAATTGAGAACATGCTCTCAAGTGCACATAATACTGAAAAAGAATTTGTCAAGTCCCAGTTCAAGAGAATCCTACTTACATTCATAGCAGTCTGGCTTGCAAGGAGACAGCTTGACATCTTACTTAGTAGAAAAGAAATTCTATACCTTGTCAAAACGACACTAAGGTATCTGCAGTTAAACTTGAAAGATAGTCTCTTACACTTCTCTGCAAGTATCCTTATACTCTTATAATCAATGCAAATTTGGAATGTGGCCATGACAAAATGGAAATGTTCAGCCTAATTAAGCTCCATCAGGATAGAAAAGCTATTTGCTATCCCATGAAACCTTCCTACTACTTCTGCTAAGCTCGTCTCACAGTATGGTCTTGCTTGAACTCTTTTTTGGGGAAAGAAAGTCTAGAGCTGTGTCTGTCCTAGATTTCAAGAAGCTAGAGAATTAAGTGGTGAACCATGGAGAATTTGGTGTTCAAACTAAATGAAAATGTGGTTAATAATTAGAGAAAAGAGATTCAAGATCATATCATTACAGGTCTAATGCTAGAGCTTAGACATAATCTGTCCTTGAGAGGTTCACAAACTGCACATATTGTGACCAGTGTGGCCATATCCAGAGGTGACACCTAGTAGAATGTGACTTGTCCACTGGGACATTACCCTGGGAAGGAATTAATTTAGGCTTATGTAGTTGGATTAGTTCTAAGAAAATGAAAGCCTGAAACCTCCCACAAGCCTTTCTTCTGCACATATTTAAGATACCATAATGACATGCACAATGATGCCCTCACCACAGCCAATCAGATAGTGGTACCATGGCCCCTAGACCCTTCAGAACTACAAAGCTGATCAATGTCCTTATGTAGAATCTACCCTCATGGATTTTGTTGCAGAACACAAAACAGAAACACCTCATTTAGTCAATTTACCAAGATTTATGATTGCCTCCAATTCATTTTTCACACTGAAGACAACAGAGACATCTAAAACACAAACCTGCTCAGGCTAATTTTTGTTGAAAGTGCTGTTTTTGCTCATTTTGAGAACTCTCACATAGCTCAGCTAACAAGGCCAGTCTCAAACCCTTGGATCTTTCTGCCTCCACTTCCAGAATGCTGGAATTACAGGCCTTTAATTTAAAATTCTTTAATGGCTTTCTACTGACTCCAGGATAGTGCAAATATCCCAAGAAGACTTCTAAGGCCAGTGCATTTTATCTTCTACACTCTCTTGTCTAAGGCTTTTACATAAGACTTTTTATTTAATTTATTCATTCTCTCTCTCTTCTTTCCTTCTTTTGCCTCCCCCTTTATTTTCCTTCCTCCCTCCTTTCTTCCTTTTTTATGGTGGGGGGATAGACAATAGTTTAACCCTCTCCTCAAACAGCCCAGACTTCCCTTATCATAGCATTCCCTTCATACTGCTGCTTTACAAGCTCACCTCTTCTGTCTAAACTCTAAATGAACAAAGTAGATGCCATGTCTGCCTTAGTCACCATCATGTGTGTAACAGTGTATAGTAAAGTGTCTGTGCTATATCAGGGTCATAAACATGCATTTTTTAATGTTTATTTGTTTATGTTTATATGTAAGTGATTGCATGAATTTATGTGTATTCCATGTGAACAGGATCCTACAAAGGCTGTAAGAGGGCATTAGATCCTCTAGAATTAGAGTTACAGATGGTTGTGAGTTGCCATGCAGAAGCAATTCTCTTAACTGATGAGCCATTTCTTCAGTTCCCACAAACTCATTTTAAAGGAACAGAAAAAACAGGAAGGAGCTAGGGAGGGAAGAAACCATAATACAGAACAAGCCTGTTCCCGAAAATGTTTTAAGGTAGACTCTGAAGGGATTCTCTGAGGCTCTTTAGGTTTAAAGCATGATGCTTCTAGATTGAACCATACCAAACCAGAGCTGGTTATTTCCGTAGCTCTAAAGTGGAAACTGAGAAATAAACTTCTTAAGAGAAGGACGTACCAAAAATTCAGATACAGGACATCATTTGGAACATCTTAAGAAAGGGGTTCAACAGTGGCAGGTATAGGTTACTTCCTGTTGATCAGTGGAGTTCCACAGACTTCTCCCAAAACATTACAAGCTATTGCCATTGTTCTTGGTTACTTTCCAGAATTTGAAGGTAAGACTCTATTTTTTTGATACTATATATGTCAGTCAGTAGACAAGGAAAATTTGAGCTGGCTTCATCTAGAAGCTTCATCCCTAGGCTAGCTTTCACAGTAGTGGGAGATACCATACAGGTGATGGGGATGGGGGTGGGGATTGAGGGCAATGTACTCAATAATCTAACTCAGTTGTAAACCTTGCAAGATATGCCCATGGGGAAGAGTGGGACCAATGTTCGGGGGGGGGGGGGGTAACTGAGCACATTTCTCAGTTCTCCACAAAGTGGGACACATGCCTGCTACTGGACCAAGAATCCATAGGTGGGTAGGCCATAAGTCCCAGGAGAATCTATTATTCTGCTTAACAAAAATCATTTTAAATTGTTCCCTAAATATTTATCTTTATAGCCATAAATTAGTACATTTTCAACCCTCATCAAAGAAGTTTCTTTGTGCAGTAAATGATAATTAACACAGAAATTTACACTTGAACAATACGCAGAATAAGATACCACAGACTGCTCAACTCTAAATGGGACATCTGTATCACACACTCTCCTCTGCAAAATCCTCAGGGGATCACTAGAGAAGAGGGTGGAAAGATTGTAAGAGCCAGATTTAGTGGAAGGTTACTGCAAAACAGTGTTTCAGGACATGACGAGTCACTACACACATGAACTCACAGTGCCTCTGACTGCATGCACAAGGCCTGCAAGAAATCAAGCTAGCCAAAATCCCAGAATGGATGAGGGAGAGGCTCACAAAATCCTACCCTTAGGTGAGGACCTATTGGCAATTGATGGCTGTTGGGGGAAGAAAATCATCAATTTCCTTCAGGGTTGTGACTTTTGCCCACATTCCATTGTTTGCCCTACACCCATGCACATACTGGCAGCACTAAGTGAACTCAGTGGGTTTAAAAGGAACATATGGAAGGTAAAAGTAATTGTAGAAATATGAAAAAAGTTGGAGAGCAGGAAGTAAAGGTAGATTTATCAAGACATATTATATTCATGTATGATATTCTCAAACAATTCATTCAAAGTGGGGGAGGATTCAAAAGGTGGTAATCAGCGATAACTGTCAACTTGACAGGATCTAAATTTACTTATGAGAGAATCCTCCACATACACTTGGGAGGGATCATCTAGGTTAGACTGGCTTCTGAGCATGGCTGTAGGGGAATTATCTTGATTAGGTTAAGTACAGTGGGAAAGCATTCCCACTGAGTGGTACCATTCCCTAGGTGAGATCTTAGACAATATAAAAATGAAAGATGGGGTGAGCACAAACATTTGCTGATTTTTTCTTCTGCTGCAGATGCAATATAACCAGCTGCTGCAAGGTCCTTCTTCACTTCCCCACCATAATCAATTGTGCCTTGAACCTTGAGCCAAATAAACGCTTTCTCTCTTAAATTGCTTGTGTCAAGGTATATTTCATCACAGTGATACAAAAACAAAAAACAAACAAAAACAAAAAACAAAAACAAAAAAAATAAAAAATAAAACCTGAGACAGGAGGAAAAAGAAACTATATTTATTGGTCAGAAATAAAACCTAAGTCAAAAACTGACTCCATAGGGAATCTTGGGTAGTTTATTTTGGTTCCTTTAAGAAGGAACTGAGTCACATTACTGAATCTCACACTGAGTTCTGAGGAACTCTGGTCTCTGTGGAAGCTGCTCAGGCTCTGCTGGGATGAAGACAATGGTTCATCAGGGAACACAGCCTTAACTCCACATAATAAAAATGCTTTATACTCATTGAGGTTCTACTTACAATGCCTTAGAAAAGCAGTACTGAGGTTAAAATAAAGTTCAAATAGCAGAGAACCAGACGCCCTTACTGGTATCTCTGTATCTTAAGTCCTTTAGTCTCCATGACAGATGGGGTCTGTCTGGACATTACAGTTTGTTTGATGGCACAGCTGCAGCATTTCCTACAGTATTTTCTCACTGCTCAAGCAGATGGAGAGGAAAGAGAGTCCAAGTTTACCATCAGACTGAGAGAATAATAAATGCTCTGTTAAATTTCATCTAACTGTTGATATAGAAAAGTACAAAGGCCTCTCCCTTCACCTTAAATAATGTTTTTTTATATTTATGACCTAGTATTCAGTTTGACATTCATTGTGACAGAAACAATACAGTCTAGGGCACATTCACAAAATCTAATTTATATCAAAAAAGGACACTGAAGTTTAGTATATCCACCTGATAGTCTAATTATCATTCAAATATAGAGCCTGCTCTTCTGAACAAGGGACTCTGAATGTGCTTAAAAAAAAAAAAAAGCCAAGTCTCTGTCACGATATACTTTCAAGTCTACCTTTATCTGAAGTTTACAGGCAGAAAATGACACAGATGGGGAAGGAGATGGTTGTCCTACAGACTAAAGGCCTCACAGCCCTGGATTAAGACAGATGCACCTTTTCCCTGCTGTCCCTTGCTTATCTATATTTCAGGAAGCATTAGAAGGTCACAAATGTCTTTCCACTCTGAGAACACATAAGCAGCAAAAATATAATCTTACCTTGGTCCTTCTTCATCACCCTGGAAAACAAAGAAGAAACAGCATTAAAAATCATTGTTGGTAATTTCCCTATCCATGCTCAAACCAAAAGCAAGGCTGAGTGTTTATTTTAACAAAGACAAACCAAAAGATGTCTAAGAGCTAAGACAAGGAATAATATATCCCTATGTTCAAACTGCCCAGCAAAGATGGACTAATAATTTTCCCTTGCAAGCATGGAATATGAATGCACAGACCTAGGAGGTCTAAATAACAGCCTTCCTTTTTTATTTCCAAAGCTAGCAGTATTTAGTTCTGAGCAAACCAAGAACCCCAAAATCGCAAGTCTTGGGCAAAGCTAACCAGCATCAAAAGCATCAGGTTGTATTCTTCAAAAAAGTATTTCCGTCTTGGTCTAGCACTTTTTCTCAAAATATGAACATAGCAGTTCTAATATACAGCATATTGAGATGGGAAGATTTCTAAATTAGGAATCAGGAAGATTCTCGCCAAAGTCCTGAGACGTAGGAGAATGTGCCACCAGGACATGCTAATTGGTTAAACTGACCCTTGGATCCCCTCTGTAAATGGGTAGTCTGAGCACTGGTAATCTACCTCATTCATTACCCAAACAACACCTTTCCTCTTTTTCTCATTCATTCTGCACAAATGTGCATTATTTTTCTCAGTGTTTCATTTTCTTGGCCCAACTTTCTCAATAACCATCACAGTAGCTTATCTGGCATCTCCCTCTGTAACAAAATGAGAGCTTTCAAATGACTTTGAAGCCTTTCCCATGGCATTTCACTTATCTTTCTGGTGACAAAGTACCTTTCACACTCCCCTCTTCAGTCATTTAGGGTTGACTTCAGTAGAGAACATACCTTCTGGCTGTACTCCCCAAAGAACCAATGAATAAATGATTCCAACATGTATAAGTTGGAATCAGACACACTGGGTTCAAATCTTGGCTCTATCACTTACTTGCTGTGTTACTTTAGCCAAGTTATTCTGCCCCTTTTCAGCTTTTACTTCCTAGTTTATAAAGTGAGGTAATAACTGTCTCTGTATCAATAGGATCAATATGAGGATTAAATAATGCTCATAATTGCTTGTGCCTTAGAGGACAGTTAATAAAGGTTACTGTTTAATATCATCAGTAATAATTCAGTATGGATCATTAAAACAGTGTGTAAGTGCTAAGGATAATGATCTAAGCTTCTGAGTTCTCAACAAGGAGCTCACACACAGAAAATAAACTAAAGTGTGTTAAGGGCTCTATCAAAGGCATAAACAGAATGACCTCAGAGACAAGGAAGAGAAGGTGACAATATACATTGATACTTGGTATAAGCAGGATTCTCCCCAGACTAACAATAGTAAAAAGTGGGAAGAAGACTTGGCTAACAAGAGAAAATACATAACAGTTTAATTAATATAGACACAACAGATAGACAGACAGACAGACAGATTATCTATCTATAGACATGATAAGATAGATGTAAGGAGGGAGACAGAGAATTTGGGGTCTGTGGAACTAGAAAATGAGAATGTGCCTACGTATTTTGGGCAGTGTGGGAGTGGGGCTAAGGGCAAGTGGGTTAAGAGTGCAAGTGGGATAAAGACAGATTACCAGAGATTAGGCCTATAAAGGAAGCTGCAGCCATGAAAGTGATTTAACCATTCTATGTGCTAGAGATTGAAAAGAAGGGCATTTTAGTAGATTACAGAGGGTTTGAATAGTGTAAGGGCACTAATCATTTGTATTTCAGTAAGAGAGAAGGGGGCTATGTGGTAAAAGGATGATAGAGGGTAGTAGGGGATTTCTTTGCATTTAGATCAACTTACACATCTCAGTACAGTACAGTAATACAGCAAGAAAAATCATATAATTTAAATTTCATGAATTATATAACCATCAATGATGCAATTAAACTTCAAGACAATTTTTCAATTATCTTTGGCTATTTAAATGTAACTACCTAAGAGAACCTTGTAGGAACATCTAAACGTACATCTAAACGTTCTCCCATGACTAAAGCAAGTTTTCTTCACAGTCACACACATTTTGGTACAATGGCTATGAAACGGGATTTGTGTATGGTTTCCATGAACACCCCTCTGTTCTAGCACTTGTGAGGCTGAGGAAGAAGTGTGGTGAATTAGAATCCAGCCTACATTGGAAGGCTTGTATGAGACTGAGTAGGATTTCTGAGTCATAAATCAATCTCACATTAACACCAACATTAAGAAGTTTGGTAATTAACTTTTGCAGATTCAGTTTTATAAACAAGTTTGTGATACAAACTTGTGATATAAACTTGTGATATAAACAAGTTTGTGATACCATTACCAAGCTTCTCCTGAATTTTTAACTGATTTGTTGATCAGGGAACAGGTGAGCAAAGAAAAGGCAGTTTTATTATATTTCTATCTTTTTCAAAACAACCGGCCCTACTACAAAGTTTCACTGCTGCAGGAATATACAAATGGATGAAACAAGAAGCACATTTATAAAGTATAAGTCTATTTAGACAACTTCACCAGATGACTATAACTTGCTGGTAAAAAAATGTGCATATGCTGGTCCTGCTACCCCAAATGTTCACCTCCATCCTGAAAGCCTTCTTAATTTTAGGCACTCCTTTAAGATCAGGCCTGACTCAGAAACTCCCTCACTGAGAGCATGGGAAAATCACGCTATTTTCTAATCTCTGTGTCTGTGGAGTTCATTCTTCTCAACTAGCAGCTAAAGAAAACTGATGGTGACAGCACCACACGGTGTCTCCCTCACTAAATTTCAACTATTTGAAAAAGAAACTGTTTTGGTCATATCTAAGGTGCATAAGTATATAGTAAATAATTACTTAGAAGTTCAAGCAAAGACATAGCAGGATTTAAGATTAATTAAGTTAATTCTGGTTATAGATATTAGAAGTGCCTTGTTAGATTAAGCAATATTCCCAAATCCCTCCTTCTAACACCATGAGTGCTTTTAGATGGCACAATACACTGTAATGTGACCTTTCCTTTCTATTTCCACTAGTGGAGATGAAGTTCACCAAGATTTCAGTTGAATCCCAAATCTGCTTATTCAGGTAAATTTGCAGCTATCATGACAAGTTAAATATCAAAAATGAGTATAAGAGAGACAACCACTGTCCCCAAGAATTGTTGTTTCTTGCGAATTTAAATGCTTCACAGCATTCATTAAAGATGATAAATTATTAAAATTTTGAATATAGGTAGAACATGCAAAATACTACAAAAATTAAATTACAACAATGTCTAAGATTCTACATTTGCTTTGAATCATATCTCCTTCACTATGAATTAACACTAGACAGTTTAGACAAGTTGTTTATTGTTGATCTCTCAGGGTGCTAGGAAGAAAACCCAGAACCTTAACATGCTATGTAAACGCTTCCATTGAGCTATGTCCTAGTCTCAACTGGGCATTTAAAATGGTAGTGGATGTAGTCCATACTGAAAATATGACATTCAATTTCAATTAGCAAACTCACATTTTTCTAAAAACATCTGAACTTCAAGTAAAAACTAGTAGATTTTAAAATTAAAAATAAATGCTTAAGATATATGTGCATTATACTTTTAATATTTTCTCCACAGAAACAAACTTTACTAGGATTATTGCATTACAATTCAGAACTCTTCTTTCAAAAATTGGATAGAAAGTTTGGGGGATATATACAGTTGACAGTGCATCTAGCATGCACAGGACTGTAGATTTTAGACACTGCACTATTTAAATTGAGCAAGGTGGAACATGTCTGAAACCTTATTAGCACTTGGGAAACAGAGGCAGGGGATAAAACATATAACTCTATGCTGTGTCCTCCTGTTTGGTGAAGTTCTTACTGAAATGAAAGGACACTGAGTAGCAGAGGTAAAGGTCAGAATGCAGACTGCAAGAAGATGCAGGGAGTGCCTAGACATTCATTACTTCTTAAGCATATTATTCTGAATAAAAAAAATGGATAAAATATTTTTAATATGTAACTTTGATAAAGAGTAGAAACTCAGAAAACAGAGACAGGAATACTTCTCAGTTTGAATTATGAGGCAATGTATACCTAATGCCCAAAACTGACAAAAATATGGATATAAAAACTATAGATCAATATCCCTCATGAAAAGTCATAAAAACTTTTAAATTAGCAAACTGTACCCAGATAATAAATAATACATCATGACTGAGTGAAAGTTTATTTCAAGAATGTACAGTCAACTTAATATTGTGAAATTAGTCAATGTAATTATCCATTACAATAAAATACAGACAATACATATAACCATCTTGATAGATGAAGACAAAATTCAATATAATTTATGACTAAGAAAACTTCAATTTGATGAAGAACATTTAAAAACACCATCACACACCTGTAAGGCAGCTATCATCATGCAGACACTGCACTAATAGTCCTTACAGTTGCACTTCAGCAAAAAAGGGAAAATAACTAGCATAGAGCTTAGAGGGAGAAGCAAGACTGTCATAGACAACATGACTGCTGATGCATAAAACCAAAGAATCTATTAAGCTATAACTAATATGGGAATTTGGCAAGGTCACAAATACAAGGTGAAAGTTCATTTGTTGCTGGGGACAGTAGAACATATCTGAAGTTACAACTACTTAGAAGTCTAAGGCAGAAGGACTGCTTGAGTCAGAAATCTAAGGTCAATTTGGGTAAAACAGTGAAACCTGTCTCAAAGAAAAAGTTGTATTTTATGTATCACATAAAATACTGAAGAACAAAAATTAAAACAATTCTTTTAATAATATTGATAATATAAAGGATGCAGAAATATATTTGATGGGAGATGTCATTCTGTAAATATGTTTCTTGTACTGGTTAATGAATAAAGCACTGTTGACCAATAGAAAGCAAGATAGGCAGGACTAGGAGACAAGGAGGAGAAATAAAGTAGTAGGGAGAAGATCCAGGATGGAAGACGGAGAGAGCAGAACGCCAGCCCCTCTCTCGGGGAAGATAAGACTACGTGGAAGTACTTAGATTAATAGAAATGGGTTAACAATAATAAGAAACTAGTAACTGGCCAACAGCTTTATATCTAATACAGAGTCTCAGTGTGTTATTTGGGGCTGGCGTGGCAGTGGGACCTGACCAGGTGGCAGAGAAAAACATACTCCTAACAATATTTAACAAAAGCAATTTAAATTAACAGAAAATTTTAAACCATTTTTGAGAACATATATAAGATAAAAACTGTTAAGAGAGACGTATGTTCTATCAAAGTGTTCTCTTCTATAATTTCTCTTCAGGAGCTCTGTATTCAGAGCATCTTCCCTTCTCACTATTTTTCAGAAGTCTAATTTGGTATGTCCTAATTCTTAAGATTTCTTAAGCGTTTTTATTATTTTGGTTTGCTCTGCTCCTTAAATTTAAAGTTTTACATTTCCAACTGAATGTTGGGTACCACTATTATTTTTCAGATTTTTTTGGCTTAACATTTCTTTCTTGTCCCTTTATTATATAAGCATCAGGTCCTTTGCTATTGTCGATGGGCCCCTGAAGCTTTGTTTAATTATTTTTAAATCTTTTGATAGCAATGGATCACTATCAAATTGTCTTCAAACTTACCAATTATTTTCTGATGTCTCCAAGTTGCAAAAAAGCCCATCCAATGATTTCCTTGTCATGTCTGTGTGTGTCTGTCTGTGTGACACTGGACATGGAACCCAGGGTCTGTCTAACACATGCCAGGTAAGGGCTCTACCACTAAGCTTTGTCCATTTTCATATTTGTAAATTTTTTAATGCTCATTTGGTCTTTTTTTGCATCGCTTGTTTCCCAGGTGTTTGTAAATATCCATCTTTTATGATAGCTGTCTTTATCTGATGATTCCAATATCTGTATCATATTGGTGCTGGCATGTGCTTTTTTTCCCCTTACAGTTGGGATTTTATCAGTATAATGAGTAATTTTGGTCTCTATGCTGAAAAGATGAAGTTGTATTAGAGTTGTATTAAAACCTTCTATCTTAGCAGGTCACTAACCTATTAAATTCAGAATAAGTATGTCCTGGATTACTTTGGTGAACTCTGCTTTAAATGACCACTTAGTGTATATGCCTCTGCTTGGCACAGATCACAGGACTCCACTCTGGTTTCCACAGAGTTAGCTATGGCAAGGGAGAGGTGCCTGCTCATTACTACAGGGCAGAGTATAATATAAGTTTCCATCTACTGATCAGGGAGTGGCTTGTTAACACGGGGTAAGAGGAAATAGTTCAGAGCTCTAGAAACAGTCTCCACAGGGAAGGCTATTAGTACTTCCGTATTGATAAAGCTGTCAGGAGCACCTACAGGTGAATGTCAAATGATCCTTAATACTGAGAGGAGAAAGGACAAAAGCAGAAAGTAAGGTTTAGCCTAAAAGTTCCATGGAGAAATAAAGATAACTTATGGGGGCTAAAGAGATGGCTCTGTGGTTAAGAGGGCTGGCTGCTCTTCTGGTGGATCTGGTTTCAATTTCCAACAACCACATAGCAACTCACAACTGTATGTAACTCCAGTTCCAAGGGATCTGGAACCCTCACATAGACATACATCAGGCAAAATGCCAATACACATAAAAGTAAATAAATGGTATTAAAAAGAAAAGATGAGTTGTTACTGTAGGGGAACATAGATAACAGATATTCAGCCCACTAGCTCCACTGCAATAGTGCCAACTGGGGCTGATGAGAAGTAAGCTCTTTATGAGTTTACTCTAGAATAGGCAGGTATGGTCAAAAGATTTCTCTGTAACTGCGTAACACTTTCACAAACTCTTTGGTTACAGACATTTAGCTAGGTAATTCTCTGCATTGTAGATCTTTTAAGTCCAAAGTTCTTAGGTAGTACTGAATCTTTTCCCCCCGATAAGTGACTTTCATTCAGAGATTAGAAAACAGTAAAATGAAACATGATCATGAGTCCAATGCAAAACTAGAAATTCTGCTCTGTTTCTTTGCTTTCTTTTGTTAGACTGGTCTCAAACTCCTTATGTAGCCAAAAATGATCTCAAGCTTCTGATCCTGTCTCCACCTCCTGAATACTGTGTGTGCCCTAAAACATCAGTTTTATATGGTGCTAGGATCAAACCCAAGGGCTTCATGAATGCCAGGAAAGTGTTTTACCAAATGACATCTCTAGATCTACCATTTTGTTTTCAGCATTAAAAATAAAATGGATTGGAAAGATGACTAGAAATATAGATAAGCAACAAGAGAAATGTCAATGAATTAGAATTTAATTTTAGGTTATAAGGGTGTAATCCAGAAAATCCTTCCAATTTTGTAGTATGTTTGTTTGAACATACTCATAAAAAATGATGAAAAAGAAATCTTTGACTGAATTAAAAAATACAGGTGGCTTTTCTTCTAATTCTGTATTATACAAAAGAAACAAAAGAATTCCTCTGTGAAGTGAGAGGTATTGGACATTTGCTCTAACTAATAAATTACCCAATTAATTGGCATGAGATGTTATTAATGACAAAAGCTCTTTGAAAATGCTCTACCTAACAGAATGCTGGGACTTCTTAACAGCTTCATTATGCCTACACCTAGTTAGTCCTTACACTTTGTCAGCTCTTACACCCCAACAGTAATTCTCTAAGTCGAAGTATTTAAAGAAGACTTAATGTTAGGGAGAAACTAAATTCATAACTTAGAATAAAATTAAAACAGAGAGGAAACTAGTCACAAACAAAAGCTTTCTTTCTGAAAGTACAACTTAACACAAGGACTCAATTTGAAGGGAATATTAGATAGTTACTCCTTTTGACCCTTCCAGTCAAAACAACTAACTCACACTAAAATGTCTTAAGTGAATTCTCTTGATTTCTCCCATAGATACAAATAGGATACTTAGCATACAATACATAAAAGAGGGAAAGAAGGCAGTAGAATAAGACAAACTTAATTCTAAATTCTGGTTCCATTTTCTATTTAAGACACTAGGTTAGTGTTTCTGTAGTTCTGTGAATCTCAATATAGCATCTGTAAATGGGAGTGACAGACTTTAAATGATAATTAAAAATATTCTCTTGTATACCTAGAAATTTACTTAGACACACACTTTTCTAATTCTAGGAGGGATAAAATGAAAACTAAGCAGTAATATTGGATGGGTAGAATGATGTCTTCAATGCCTGCTGAACTGACCTGGATAAGACCTGAGTCTGGTATTACATATACCCTGACTTCTTCACTGGCCAGTATATTCTGTGGCCTGAGTAAAATTGCCAGTTAATGCTTAACTCATTAATTCAGCAGCAGTTCTGGAAAGCCCACAGGATTGTCTCACAGTTTCTTATAGAACAAACTATCTCAACCTACCTGGAATGTGTTTGACCAGAAGATTTACTCACTATTATAAAGTCCTATTGAACACTAGTCTCTCTCTGAAATAGATCGTTGCCTAGGCTGACTTACCTAAGTTTTCTTATCTATCTTCCTTCATCCCTTCCTCCCTGCCTGCCTCCCTTTCTTCCTTCCTCCTTCCCTTCCTTTCTCCCTTCCTTCCTTTTGTGTGTATATGTCTGTGCAACATGTACATGCAGGAGCTTACAGGGCAGATGAAACTTTGGATCTTCCGGAACTGGATTTATAGACAGCTGTGGGCCACTAGGTAGATGCTGGCAACCAAACTTGTGTCACCAGCAAGAACAGCAAGTGATCTTAACTGCTGAGCCATCTTCAGGTCTTCCTCCCAAACTTTTTAAACAGGGTATGTATACTTCTGGCTGGCTTAGAATTAGCTGTGTAGGCCAAGGCTGCCCTCAAGCTCGCAGAGCTCTACCTGCTTCTGCCTCCTAAATGCTGGAATTAAATCTAGTTATCACCATTCCTAGCTTCTGCCTTAAGGAAGGTAGGAAGGTAGATAGGTAGGTAGGTGTGTAGGTGTGTGTGTGTAAATACATTGTTTGAAATGTGTGTGTGTGTGTCTAAATATGTTATTTGAAATACTCCAAACACTTTATTCTGTTATGAAATGCATATAGTTGTAATACTGATTCACATTTATCTTGTGTGTTTTGTTCATGTTATTCTTTTCTTTTCACAATATGCTCTACTTTTTGTTTTGTTATTTTCCTAAGAATTTTGGTTTTCTTTTTGAAACAGTATCTCACTATACAAGCTGGAGTCATCATCTTCCCTTCTTATCTTCCCAAGTAGCTGTGCCACAATGCACAGCCTCGTGTGCGGCTTTTAATCCAGCAAATATACCTTCAATTTATATAGATGGATCCTTAAAATACCAAATGGGAAGCACCCCTTTGCTATTCACAAAATATACAGTTGTTCACTCTGAACTGTTTTGGGCTTTACCTGACTCATTCTAATTCAACCCTGTTCTCATGTCTTAAAAAAAAAAAATCATTTCTATGTTCATTTCACATCTTGAGATGGGATGTGTCTGTCATTCTGTCATTTACCCTCTTTTCTAGTTTAGATTTCTAGCTTGTCGTCTTAACTATGATTAGTAGCTGCTCCCTGACTATAGTCCTTTAAATTATGTTGGTTAATACTTTGCCGGCTGAAATGCCAAGTACAGACCCTAGTAGCCAATACTGTGCTCGTGTCCATACTAGTTGAAATCCTCCCCAAGTTTTTAATTTGTTATGTTTAGAGATCACAAGCAGGCATTTTCTTAATTAACAAACATGGTAGTTATATACTTCTCTTGCTAAAAATTACCAGCATTTTCATTTACCTCTGCCTTTGGCTCAGCTGATTCATTAGAGGTATCAAGTTGTTCCTTGGCCTGTGCCATCTGAGTCATCAACCTATCCATGTGAGATTGGATATCCGCCAGTATCTCAGTCACATGAGCTGTGGCCATTGCTTCTTGGATGTCCACTAAATGAAGGGCCTTCTGCTCCTCATCAGCAATCACTTTCTGAACTTTCTTAAATTCTTGTTGTATAAATAACTTCATCTGGTCTCGAGTTACCTGTAGAACACAGATACATAAGAAGTGTAGATTGAACATAACAAAGAATTGCAAAGGGAGAGGTTTTTTAAAATAGTGCTAGGTAGTCCTGCTCAAAAAACAAATTACAGTGGCTATTTCATTTTTAAGTCTCAAAAATATGCTCTCAACAATATTCTTCCAACACCTTTGATAAATTTTCTGGTAACCATTTTTATTGTTTAGGAACAAATTCTTTATCGTGTGTGTGTGTGTACATACATACATACATACATACATACATACATACATACATATGTTCCTTTGGATTTTATTTACATACCAGTAATACATAACTACTTTTTAAAAACTGTAATAGAAGAATACATAAAATGAAAAGTACAATTTCTAGCTAGATATGGTGGTTTATAACTATAATCTCAGCATGCCAGAGACTGAGGCAGAGGAATGTCAAGAATTCAAAGCCAGCACATTAGCAATGAGTTCCAGTACAGTTGGGCTATAAAGAACTCTGTCTCAAAAACAAACAAAAAAGAGGAGGGAAAGTTTGAACCAGGAAATGGTACATGCCTGAAACCTCAGTATCTAGAAAGCAGATGTAGGAGGATCAAGGTTTTGAGGCCATGCTGGTCAATATAGTAAGACTGTCTTGAGAAGTCAAAATACAACGACACAATAGTTCAGTAGTTGTTCTACTTATTCTATATGGTTACTCACGTATACATAAATGTTTCTATAAATGGGTTAGAGTGAACATATGGTTCTACGTCCTGTTTTTCCTCTTAAAATGTTAGTGAATACAGACAGCACCTTCATCTTTTCTATTACTTTTTACCACTTGCAGGATATAAAGAAATATATCCTATTCATTCTTCTCATAAGAGAAACATGCAATTTCTAACTTTTTCCTTTTACAGACAACACAACAATGAATGTCTGAGGAATATCTCTTAATATTTACATTTACATGAGTGTCTTCAGAGATCTCCTAAATCATTAAGCCATTTCATACATATGCTAAAGTTATTGTGAAGCTGCCAAACTACTCTCTGAAAAGGATGGAGCAATTATGCAATACTGTGTGAAAGGAAGGATTTCTCTACAACCTTATCAATACTGGGAAATATCAAACTTTTACATTTTTCAATGTAGTAGGCAAAAATGATACTATCTTATTTTCCTACAACTATAAACCAAACACACACCCCCACACCCACACACTCGAGTGTGTGCACACAAACGCAAGCAGCTGACAGTGTATTTGGCTAAGAAATGAGAAAGGCAAACAAAATAAAAACCTATAAAAATAAGTTATTTTAAGAACTCTGTATTTTCTTATTTTGCTTTACTGTTTTTGTGGTGTTAGGGATCAAACCAAGAGCTTTACACATACAGGGCAAATGCTCTACCACTGAGCTACATCTCCAATTTCATCAGTGTTTTTAAACAACTATCCATATTATGTGTACCTGAGATAAGCAGCAGGGAAAGGACCTGGGAGGTATTTCATTTGTTAAAGTACTTGCTGTGTAAGCATGACAGCCTAGATTTGTATCTCCAGCACTCCTGGAGCAGGAGCTCCTGGGGCAGGAGCAGAGGTGGCACAGGGAAGACAGACAGATCCTGGACCTCACTGGCTAGTTTAAGAGAAAAAATGAGCTCCAGGTACAATGAGAACTCTTGTCTTAAAAATAAGGTAGGGGTGGAGAGATGGCTCAGTGGTTAAAATGCTTGTCCTGCAGGTATGAGGAACAGAGTCCAGATCCCCAGAACCCATGTAAGTGTCAGATAGGCATAGCGTCTTGCCTATAATCAATCATAAAGCTTAGAAGGTAGATACAGAGATTAAATATCTGAAAGCTCTGAGTTTAACTGAGAGATCTTGCCTCAATGAATAAAGGGGTGTGAGACTAAGAAAGATTTCTCATGTCAACTTTGGAACTCCACATGCATACACATAAACATATACACACATGCAAACATGCATATACACACATATATATACAACATATACAATTCTCATGAAAAATCAAAACAGTAAGAGTAATTAAACACTGCACACCAATTTCTGCACATACACACTACACCCATGTGCACATATACATATAACACACACACAATGAAGAAGTAGAACTATAAGTGACAGGAAAAGGGTGTATCAGGAAAGTATGAGGGAAGAAGAGGTAGTTATTGCCTATGAGAACTTCTCTTATAGATAAGGAAACAGACACAGAAATAAACTTGTAGGAGAGGAAGAGACTTCAATCTTTTTGTTCTCAGTCTGGTAAAGTTTTCATACAAGTCTAGCAGGGGAAAAAGACCACACTGGAAAAATGTAAGAAAGAAAACAGAAAGACTGAAAATAGGGGAAGGAGATATTAGCTTATTAGAAACTGAATGAAGATTGATGAGGTCTTAAGCAGCTTTTTAAACAATGCCATAAAGATCCCAAGGTAAAAGAATGCCTGTATGCCAAGTTGCCAGGGACATACCAACTGGCTAAGTGATCTAGGCCCTGCAGAATTCAAATGCTTTTGTAATTATTTTATATTTTTATTTTAATGTATGCATATCAGTGCTGCTGTGATGACCATCAGTACATTTCTACTTATTAAGATACATTAACTGTTTACTGATCTTGGAGCTTCTCTTAAAAACTAAATCTAGAAAGTTTTCACAAAGAGATGAACTTTTCGGAATGCCTGATACTCTCTCTAAATATTTTTAGTGGTTTCATGTGACTGAAAACGACAATTACGATATAAAATGACTGCAATCTATTTGACTAGACCTCACATACACATGTAGCTGAAAAGTTAGGAAGCTAGCATCACAATCAGGAAAACTGGGTCATAGGGGAGGCAAATTAATCCTAACTTTTAATAATTAAATTCCTCATTTCCTGTTGCTTTACATAGTTCTTCAACAAGATACTTTGTCTTATCCAAAGGAAGTGGAAAATAAGAGTGCAGAGCAGAATAATCTATCAAGCCTTTATGCCTTCCTCCTACTTCCATCACCACTAATTAACTGATGGATATTCTTCAACCTAGTTCAAAGAAATAACTTGAGTCCTGACATTCACCTTACTCCAGGGCCTAAGGAAGAGCCAACCTGAGAGGGGGCATGTGGAAGAATGGGTGCTCTGGGCAAGTACTCCTGCCTTCTAAACTTCCTTCCAGTTATTTCACCTTCATCAAACCTCTATCCTAGGGGGGAAAAAATCTCAAAAACAATGAACACTTCATGCTGATTCCTATTATCTGGAAGTCTCCTATCTTCTTCCTGAGTGGGTTTATTGGTACTGCTTCAGCCAGTCCTAAAGTCCCCCATGAATGTCAGTGATAGTCTCACTATATGTGACGTCTATAAAAAGGGAAAACTCTACAAACTCAGTAAGGAAGGTAGATGGACAGAATGGTGAAAATGGAATCTGGAGGCTGCTTTCTATATAGCATCTACTAAACTATCAAGGCTTACTCCAACCAAAATCTTAGTGTGAAATCTTAGAGGATAATAATACAAGGTGGAACTTGTATTATTAAGAGAAAACTATGCCTCTTCCTCTTTGAAGTGCATACTTAATAAGGCACTGAGTATCTTCAGGAAAATGTTACCCAAGGGACTTGGTCCTTAACACAAAAGTTATAAAAGGAGCATTCTCTCTTTGGTCAACTGGTTCCCAATATGCTAAAACCATTAGCACTTCCCTTATGAGCACAATCCTCTATCTGCTTATGGCTGCATTAGTGTGCACTGTCTATAATTTGTAAACAGTGGTTGTTAATTTATGTATGGTCTGAACATGATAGAGAATACCTATAGGTGACCTGATTTTATAGTGACAAAAGGGAGCTCTTGGGAAGAACAGTCATGATGTCAAGTTTTGAAATTCTGCTTTGTTCCAATACCATAAGTTTTCTGCTAAACATATTGCCTTTATGATTGCTCAGGTCCCTCCGAAATTTTTTGGAGAGCTCACAACCCGGCTCCGATAGTATGTACCAGGTGGCCTCAAACTCAAGATATGCCTGCCTTCCAGTACTGGGATTAAGGCATAGACCCCTCCCGGTGGTGCGGAGTTCATTCCGGTCCCCACCAGGATAAATAATTTACATCTTAAAGAGTTAAATCTTATCCCAGAATCTTCCTGTATAAGGGGGGGGACCAGCATTCTCACAACATTCCTACACATAAAACCTTGAATTAAGAAACTTGTACTTAAAACAATATCCACTCAAAGTATCTGACATGGACTAGGAGCTATTAACTCCTTGCTAGCTGAACTACAGGAAATCAGGTTTTATTTCTTTTTATTAATTACAGGTAGCTTTAAAAGAACAAGAAAGACAAGCACTTGGCCTTCAATATACATGATTCAATGCTTTCTCACAAAGCACTATGCCCATAGTCAAAATTCTCTGTCTCTGCCCCCCCATCTCTCACACAGTATGCAATTTAGATCCCCAGCAGCCCAAAAAACAAACAAATACCCCAATCTTCCTTAAACCAGCATTCTCACCTTCCTACATGGCTCCAGAGAAAAGCAGCCATGTGCTCTTCTTCTCTTTTCTCCTTCTTTTCCTTTTTTTCCTCCCAGAGACTATGAGTCAAATTCTCTGTCTCTGCCCCTCCATCTCTCACACAGAGAGACAGAGAGAGAGAGAGAGGGAGGGAGGGAGGGGGAGGGAGAGATGCTGCACTTCTCTAGCTCCCTCATTACCAACTTCATCTTTGCAATGCTATATGCTATTCGCAGGTGACTATGATTGAAAGTTTTCAACCCTGTACCATTGAGACTTGAAGCTAGTAATTCTTGCTGGGGGGGGGGGGGCTAAGTCATTGTTATGATCCTCTCTGCCTCAGCTGTGACAACCAAAAGTGTCTCTGGACATTGCTGCAAGCAATGAGAAACACTAGACTTTGCTTTCATAATTTCATCCCATCTTTGGAATGCAATTATTACTCCCTTGAGAGAAGGCCCTTTATGCCTGGATTTTTTCTCCATGCAACTCATCTCA